AGGACTCAAGATTATCAGCTTGTTTAAGGCACTGAAGAGATGAGGAACAGTGATACTGCCAGGATACAGACAAGCAATGGAAACGCCAAGAGGAAAAAAATCCTCGTTTTCGGCTGATACAAAGCGAGCACACCCCAAGTGAGCACGACCTCCAACGGAGAGCATCTGAACTAAATTCCAGACAATATGCACGGCTGACGGCCTCTAGCAGTGTCAGAAATGAAACCTCGTCAGACTAAGGGCAGATCTTCCTTCTCCTTTCCGAAGCAGCCCCATCCCACCCAGCACAGCAAATTTCCTCTTCCAGAAATCTCAAGCACCGTTCCCCCCCCCATGGTGATGTAGCCCAGTCCTCCAAAGCTCGTTCTTTGCTGTCAGCTCCTGAATAAATCCTCAACCAGAAAAAACAGGGTCTACACCCAAACCTACACCATCCTTTTGAGAGCACCCATTGCTCTCCCTTTGCCTTACTCCCACGTCGCCCCCACGAGCATCCTTATGGTTCAACGGTTGAGCGGTGACGTACAAAGCCCAGGGCAGGTCCAGCTCCGTGGGTTTCTTCTCTCTAAGCTGCACCAATTCCACAGCGCCAAGCGGGAAAGCTGAGAGCAGCAGGGCACGCGGCTGACACCCAGGCAGGCACCTTTTGGGAACCAGACAGCTTCAGGCTTAACTCCGTCGGTCAAGGCGCACCACCTGCTCTAGGGCAACGGCTTATGACGCCACCATCCACGTGGCTCTCTTCAGCCCTTATTCCCCCCGCAGCCTGAACGATCCAGGGTCTAATTAAACCCCTAGGAAACCATCAAAAAAATGCCAGAATCCTGAGCTCAGGCTTCTTAATTTTGATGTCGAACTACTTTTAACCCCTCTGCTGCCAAACCCGATAATAAAAGGGTTAAAATCCGCTGGTTGAAAAGCCAACCGCTTGACAGAAGCCAGGCTGGACTTCCAAACCACGAAGGGAACGCTTTGCCACTTCAAACAGGAGGCAGCTTGAAGCCAGCGCGCTTGTTTTGCCTTCGGTGCGCCCTGGCTCGCCCGCAAAACGCTCGCCAGCGCCAGCACGGGCTCGCTGGGCTGGGACGAGCGCGTGCCGCCCCGCTGCCACAGGGACGAGGCCGGCGGGCAAAGCCCACGCCAGCACACATCCCCACCGGGTCCGTAACGGACAGCCCGAGGAGCCTCGGGCCGAGTTGAGAGTCGCCCAACAGGCGAGCCCGGGGCGGTAGGCGAGCCAAGCGCTGTTCACCCTGCAACATCCAGCTGTTAAACCTACGACTGGGACCATTACAAAACTCTTTTTCCCCCCTCGACCAGGCTGAGGTCGGCCGTCACCCCCACTCACCGAGGCGGGGGATGCTGCTGTCGTGGTTTGTCCTACCAAAAAAGCAAATAGAGGCAGTTTCTCTCCCAAACCCTCCGCCCCAGAGGCAGGCTCCAACGTTGGCGAGCAGCTTTGCTCCCTTTCCTTCGGCGAAGAGCACACCGGCGGTTTCAAAGCACCGGCTTTGGAAAGAGAGACCGCTCTCACGAAGCTTTTGGTTAAATTAGCTCGTTGCCGGAAAAAAAAGCTCCTGACACCGCTCGCCTGAGGATTGCAAAGCAATGATTCCACAGGAGCCCTTCAAGCAGAAACGCACTGAAGCTCCAGCCATTGCAGGCTCGCCCATCACTGCCGTGAACACACATCGGGTTAGAAACCCACCACGCGATACAGTCCAACCTAGTTCTGCTTTGCAGGAGCTGAAAAGCCTCCCTGAATAAAACCCCTTTATTTTTTAGGTTAGAAACTCTTTTATTAGTGTTTTCCCTTATGTCTCTTAATGAGAACCCCCCCACTTTTCACACTGCAGTAAAAGACCCGCAAAAAACTGTGTATATAAAAGGCAAAACTTATCCTAAAAGTACGTCTCTCAGCATCATGAAGACAACAATTATGTCAGTGAAGACCAAAGCACAAGAATCCTCTTTGGCACATGTGACCTGCTGCGTCTTACCCCCTGGAGTTTTGGTCCAGGTCTGCAACATTATCTGGAAAAGAACGGTGCTTGGGTTTAAGGTAGAAGGGAACTCAGGAGGCTCTAAGCACTTTGGCAGTAACAGAAGCTGTGTTATTCCATAATAAGAGAAGTCTTGACCACAGTAAAATCTTTATACTGGTGTACCAAGAGGCTGTTCAAATCGTGACATGCCCAAGCAGTCCTTGGTCCACTCTCTCAGAGTCGGAGCAGCTCCTACGCCGCCGTCTCCAGGACGGAGGACCAGCCGCCGCATCTGCTGTGCCGACATTCCCCCACTCCGTTGCCCCCCTGAGGCCAGCTGCCATTCACGTTGGTGACATTCCACCAATTAACATTCACCTTTTTCTTTTTTCAATTAGAAACAAAGCCTCTCCTAAAACCCAACCCTACAAGAAGTGCTACGTTAAATTCCGTTCCGCAGTATGCCAAGGAGGGGGGATAGAATATTTTTTACTGCAACTTCTCAGCCAAGTGAATACAAGAGAGAAGATGACTATTCCAAGATATTTAATAAGAAGAAATTACAGATTGAAAGTCCTCCGAGCACACGAAATTCAGCCAGTGCACAGCTCTAGAACGGGTCACTTCTTACAGACAATATTACTATTTTTTTTTTGCTTCAGCGTGAACGTGTTGGACTAACGCAAACCACAAAATACTGAATCAGATGCAACAGAGATAGTGCTAAAACCCACAACAATAAAAAAGTATGGCACACAGGATGCTAAACTAAACAACGTGTAATTAGTATTTACTTTTTTGGCAATCCTGGTTCGGATTCGTTCAGCTCAGAGATTCGTTCCCCGGCAGCACCAGGTTCAGTCAACATACGTTTTGTGCAAAGTATACTGTTAAATTCATGAAATAATTAGTTGTGTAAACATACCTTCCCTTCACAGTAAAACAACAGTGATTTGGGAACTGGAAACAAACAAGAGAATCCCAGACAATATTTGATTTCACAGTACATAGCTTATGTATACATAATCACCATATTCAGGCAAGTAGGTAAAGTGCATGCCAGTAACAACTTGGACTGTAAATTAAGAACTTACAGTGCAGAAGTACATTTTACTCCAATACTAACAAACTAATATGAAGTAATACAAAACAAGGTAGAGTAAGATCTTGAAAAGAACCTACTCTGTGTGATTTACTGTACCTTCTTTTAAAAGGCAGGCTGAATTACTCTGCAACGGGAAAATTTCACATCAACTATCAGTGGAATAAACAGTTCAGAGCGTCACTAGTTAAAAATATTGCACCAAAAGTGTTGTATTTGAATGCAATACAAGAAGAATTTTTAAATATAAAACCACTTTTTTTTTAAAAAAAAAAAAAAGACATATTACAACAGCTACTTTGAACTAAAATAGCTGGTAAACTGGAGGAATTGATGAAATGTGAGCTCTCTGCCACAGGCGATAGGTACCTGGATTATCTGGAATCTCTCCTATCCAGTATGAAGTTAGGAGGGGAAAAGGTCTCCTGTAGTCTCAATGGAGCCAACTGTAAACTCAACGAAACCTATTAGACAATAACAGACAGTATTCCCTTTGATTTTAGAAATACAGGTCTACAAGGAGTCTTGAAACGCTTCACCATCAGTCAGTGCAAACAAATAAAAGCCACAAGACAGATGGAGGTACCACGACTATCAAACGTCACCCGGATGTCTACAGCTCCGACCACAGGCCCCTCAGCCTGTGAACCTGGAGCAAAACCCACATGATGCTCCTCACAACTCACAAGGTTCCCATTTAGAGAGCTGGAGGTGAACGGTAGGGAGATCCTTGGAAAATGAGGGACAGAGAAGCAAAGGGACAAGAGACCTTCCACTAACATCCATCGGAGATGCGGCAGCCCAGATCCATCACGGTATTTAGGGACCACGCTAGGTGAACACTATGTTCCCGATGCTCTGAGGCCGCTGCATCCCACGTGAGATGGTTACCAAAAACCTAAAACCACTCTGTGCAAGCGAGGGATACGGTGAACTCCAAGAACTGAATAAATTCGCCCGCAATGAAAATCACTTTCTCCGCTCCAAGATCAACTCCTTCACTACTTGTGCAGTTTAAAGGGGGGAAATGACACGCGCGAAAACGTGCAGGTGATCACTGAGGATCAGCAGTCCCTTCTGGGGAAGCAGAAGCACGTATTTGCCTTTGACACTTTTTGTAAGCGACTTTAGTAAGCAAAACACCAGCGAATGGCAAACTAAAAAACCCCAAATCTGCTCAATAAGTAGATGTCTCTAGCAATACACATACATTAACTAACCTTCTCCTCTTGATTTCCCAAGACATGGCATCAGACAGCCACGGCCACTAAGTCTTCATTACTCTTATAAAATTTCTGGGTACATTAAAAGCACGATTGAAACGTATTAAAACTATTCGCTGAGGGAACACAAGGTTTTATCACCATCATTTTGCTCACCTCAGCGTTAACGTACAAAAAAAAAAAAAGCCTCAGTGGCTGCAGTTGGGACACCTGGCCCTTAGTTCAGCTATTAACTATTTTAAAGACAGACCTTGAGAGAGAATTAATAGGCTGTAATCATCTAAAGTAGTCTCATATGCAGTTCATTTCTCCTTCACTTCTCCATTGCAGTAATAAAACAAGAAAAACTTTCAAAAGCAGCAACGTAAAAAAACACATAAAAGTTGATTCAGATTATATCACATCCCTTCATATTTACAGATTTTTCTGTAGTAAAGAATCCACTATCATTCTTTCACTGCCATTAAAAGTCTTGGCCTTTTTAACCCTAAAACAGCCTTCAAACATCACCCAAGTCTGGAAACGTTTCCAAAACCCTCAGGAACTCAACCACAGCAGCCTCGTATTCCAGACAACATTGCAAACACCTCCCACGCAATCCAAGTGTCCGGTAAAGAAACAGTCTTGAAAAATACAGTTCCCCAGCCCTCCTCTTCCTCACGATACCGTCCCCACCGGCTCCGGCAGGCGCTACGTGAGCTTCTTTATCCTGCGGTTCTGCTTGTCGATAGTCAGCGTCGCGCGGTCCACGGAGGTAGCGATGGAATCGAGGGCTTCGTCCTGTCTCTCCAGCTCAGCTTCCGTCTCCAAGGCAAGGCCCTTCAGCTTCTTGAGTATCTGTCAGAAGAAAAGAGTGAGAGCTTTCAGCCAGTTCTTTGGGAAACGTGACAGACCCACGGGAATTCGGTATTTCACCGCTCTCCACGACCGAAGCATTGGCTGGAGCCTGCCCTGAAAAGCGTTGGTGAAGAGACGCTGATCTTGCTGTGACTGAGAAAAACTAAACCATGAACTAAAGACCAGAAACATTGAATCTGAAAAGTTAGGGTTATGGGGGAGGGGTTTGTAAACTAGAATTAAAAAAAAATCAATGTAAACAACAGCTTTTTGCTGGCTCAGTTATTACCTCCTTGGTTTATCCTCGTGTTAGAGCAGAGGCTTCTCCTGAGGTGTGGTCGAGTCAGAGAGCACGGCTGGTGCAAACGTGGCTGAAGGCATAGCAAGGTTAGGCAGGGCCCAGGTCAAAGGACAGAAAATGTTGTTTTACTACAACCCACTAAAGAAAGAAGTGTCACTGGACGGAGCAGAAGGGAGAAAGTGAGACCTGGGCAACCAAATACATAATTTTCAAGGACTGGAGAGGTATGAGTGGACGTCAAGGCGGCCAAGAGGCTCAGGCTGTACCTGAGATGAGAAACAGCAGATGCACTGGCTACAGCTCTATTCCAGGCTGCAAGCGTTGTATTACAGGTCAACCAGCTCACACTGCACTTAGCAAATGACTGTTCGTACGTGGGACTGTAAGCAAACACCCTGAGCTACCCCAAGACTGCAAGGAGACCCTGTTGTCCGAAAAAGCCGACAGATCCTGGTGCAAACAGAGCAGAAGCCTCTGCAGGGGAAGGAGAACGCCAGGCTGGCGCATTCTCAAGGCTTGGAAACATCCATCAGGATGACTTACGGGTCCTACTCAACTTTAATTTTCATCAGTTCACACAACCGAGCCCAAGAGCAGAGATCCAAACAACACAAGAAAAAAAACCTGTCTTGATTCCTTACCCTCTAACACCGGCTCCTTTTAGCAGCAGTCCACGAGTTACAGCACTGCCTCTTCTTCCCTCTTGTGGCTACTCCCTTCACAAGCCTGGCTGCACGAACTGAAAGCACCTGCCTGACAGACAAGCTCTCAGCTGCCTTCCCTCGGATGCATCCGAGGGAGATGGGGAAGCAGCGTCTCATACTGACTGGAAATGCGGCTTCTGGGTCACTTCAGACCATAAAGGGGCTGTCTCTGCTGGCCACCACGATCCGCTTCCTCAGCCATCCCCGCGATATCCTCACCCTGCCTGCTTCACAACAGCGCGTCACCCAACCTGCCGCAAAAACAGTCTCCAAGAAAGCAAATTATCCCAGCGCTATCCCGCAACATCCCCCGCTGTGGTACGCGAGCACCCAGGTAATGCTACCGAAGCCACCAGCACTGCAGCCTGTGTAACAAAATAAATCTGTAGCTTTTGGTAAATTAGGGGAAAAGAATTTTACGCTATACATGTTTAAGCTTTTTTTTTTTTTAATAACAACTGGTAAATGCTGTTTTCTTGTTTTCCTTTTAGAAGATGCACAATCAGCCCCCAGAAAGCTGCTGGGAAACATCAGCGGCCCCTTCACGTGCACGCGGGGCTGAATTCCACAGCAGCCCCTTGGTTTGCAGCTATGGCTCTTACCGGGTTGAGAAAAGCAGCAAGGAATAGCAAATCTAGCTGGAATGGCAGGGGAATTTTACGCAGAGAAAATGCTTTGGCTAAAGCTGGATGTCAGCCTCAGTAGTGAGATTTATCTTGTAAAATATTGCTCAGCTCTTTCCATAAATTAAAAGCAGCTAGAAATACGGCTGCGTGAATAACTGGGTTTGAAATTTGGCTGCCGAAGGAAAAAATACAAAACAAACCATGGATCAAGCTTAACCTACCTTTTTCTGTTCTCACCAAAACTACAAGCTAAAACCTGCTCTGTTTGTATCACTTCAAGTTCTTCCACTGTAACAGGAAAGCGAGGCTGAATCCCCCCAAACTGGAGGTGGTAGATGTGTGTGGGATAGGCACCAAAAAGAAAAATGACACGATCAGATCTATCACGTGTGTGAGATTCAGGACACGGGTCTGAAATGAGGTCTGGCCTCTCCTGAGGAAGTAACTTTGCTATTTGGAAATGAGAAGTTCAGAGCTGACTCTCCCTCAGTCTTTCCTTTGAGCTTCTTCTGCATTTATTTTATACCTACAAACACACACACATTTTTACAGTAGCCAGGGCTACACGAAATGACTCCTGCCATTCATAGTCGCAGTATAATGAAGATCAGAAACGACCTCTGGAGGTCTTCTCCTCCGCTCCACCCAACTAAGAGCAGGGCCAGCTTCAACGCTCAGCTGAGAGAACATTACAGGGTTTCAGCCTCCACCCCAACAAACTTTTAATTCTTTGTACTAGTTTAAAAGAGGAGAGACCTCCCTCCTCCAGTATAGCCTAAAGGCTGGCAGTGAAAGACATGCGCTTCGTCCTTTGCGGATGATTTAAAGATGGTCCCTGCTGCCATTTCTTTCAGCAAGTTTACTAAAAAGTTTTATCAAAGAGCATCCCAAAATGTGTTTTCCAGCACAGCAGCACAGAAGCAGCAGCAGCTGCCAATGCTTTCTAGATCACGGCTTGACGCTCGCTCCAGGATGGTCCCGCTGGCCATCCAACACCCCCGCCTCCTGCCGCAGCAAGGCACGGGCTTTTGGAGGTTTAGCACCACGCAGCCCTGGCCCTGAGGTCAGTTCAGCTTTCCTGAGCCGTGCCCTCGCCCAGCACACCTCAGGTTGTGGAATCCACGGAGGGGAGGACAGAAGGTGGATGTGGTGACACGCAGCGCAAGCCTCCAAGCAGGGGCTGGCACGAGAGGGTGCAGAAAGGAAGCAGGGACATTCCTCCTTCCCCACCTCTCTACGAGGCACCAATTTATTTAAAAAAACCAAACCTGTGCCGAAAAAGGACCAGGCTTGCCCTGAGAAACGGTTTATTTTTGGTGGCAAACCAGATTACTTTTGATAGGCTTCGCATTCATTAGAGGACACAACATTTAAAATACAGAAAAAAGACACAATTGTTGAGAACAGAAAAGCTTTTAGAACACGAGAGCAGTAAAATGGAAGCTCAAGTCGGCTACAGGGCTCTGCTCGGTTCACCTGCCAATTAGGCTCTGCCCTGAAACGCAGCGGGCGATGACGATGTGGTTACTCACACACAAAAATAAAAGGCAAGCGGCTCACTTTCATCTGTTAATTCTCTTTCCATAAGAGTCTGGTAATAAACCCCTTAACCCTTTGTCTGTCAGCATCTTTGACCCTCAAGCTGAGGGCCGCCACTCAACCCAAGGGGACCTGAAATAGTTAAAGATCCTTTTCCAGCACAGGCCACAGAGCTTGCTGGCAAGAGTTACTGGAATCTGAAGTCTGGCCAAAGCCGGTCACTGGTTTTGCAAAGCCAAATGATGGCAAGATGTCTAGTTATCACTGCTCCACTTCTGTCAGCTGCTCAGAGCAGCAGCGCCTTCGATGCCAGCGCGTAATTTGGACGGCGAACCAAGACACGAAAACTCAGCGTGAAACTCTATCTGTCGCACAAAGCCAAACAGCAGGTACGAGCCCATCAAAGACGCATTTTCAAGGCACATTTCCTCAGGCACCGGTCGGTGCCCTGTTGAGACAGCCTCAGATTTATGCCACCGGATTATAATTTGGAAAACCTGATTTATCCTCGTGGCCCTGCCACGGGTTTTCTGTGCCACTTCAGGCAAGTTCCCCAATATTCCCACGCGCAGAATTCTCGCTGTAAGAAAACAAACAAGGAAGCAAATTTGCCGCTGCTCTCCAAATCCACCCTGTGCCAAGCGTTCAACTACAGCAGACTTAGGCCTCGCTGGGAGAAGAGGTGTCCATCCAAGCAACGTATCCCACGTTCTTCCACAGACTACGAGGACCTAGACAACGCAGAGCAGTTTGGGTCATGGTTCATCCGCTCTGTTTCACCTACTCGCTCAAAGAGGAGTTCAGGAGCTGCCCACTCCTCTCTGCTGGGGCTCCTGTGAGAGCCGAGCAAGCAGCTGAGCTGGAGACAGTCACCACAGACAGAAAGGGACAATGGGAGGGGACTCCAAGCCTGTCAACCTGCTCAGCACTCGGCCCTGTCATTCTGCCACATCACCTGAAGACCTAAACTCACAGCGTCAGGCACTGTCCAGAGATTGTAGCCTAAAGATCTTACCACGGAGACCACAGTTTGGTTTTGGGTCCCGAGGTGCCATCATCACACCCAATTTAGCTCAAGCTTGTGATATAAGATCTGCCATCTCAATACACTGAGAACCCAGCAGTAAAACTGGGCTACACAAAGTGTCGTTGCGCGGGGAGTACTGCCAACCGGAGTCTGAACTCCCCGGAATCCTCCCCGCGATCCACTCCATTATCCCCGCGCCACTGAGGTCTGAAGGTTAAAGCAGAGCGCATACGACCAGAAATGGCTCTCGAAGGCAGCCAAATCCCCCTGGTATGAGGAAACAAGGAAAGTTCATTTGCCGCACGCTGAACTAGGGCGCAAACAGGCGTTTCGACAGCGATAACTTGTCGTGATTTAAGACGCCGCTTCACTTCCGTGTTGAACATATTGCAGGTGGGCAGCAAGAACGGGCGACAACACCTAAAATACTCTAATTCATAGTCCCAATATAAGCTCAAACCCACAACGGGGATTAAGTGATCTTGCACTGAAAAGATGAAGAGGCCTGGCCACATCCTCTCCTGGCTGCACCTGGAAACGGGCAGGGAGACAGCAGAGAGCAGGAACATCTTAAACGACCGCAACACAATTTACTAGAGGACATCCGTCAACGCCTCATGAGACAAGTGCAACTTGTTGTAACAAAAAAAATCAAGGAAATCTACGGATTTATGTTGCTTCAACAAGTTTCCCATTCGGGACCACCGCTATCAGCACTTGCCTGTAGCTATGCGAAGCGCAGACCTTCGTCCTGCCTGATCCAGGGTTGCGTTTGCTGTAGGAAGAGCCAAGCTCTGCGCCAGCCACTAGCAAAAGTGCTTCTGCCTGCTCTGGAAAATCAGGTTGTCTCTTGAGGCACAAAACTCCTGAGCAGAGAAAACACTGGAACAGGCAAGTTTGACAGGGACAGCAGGGTCCTTGCATTTGAAGCACCCCAAAGCAGACAAACTTTAAAGCACCAGCTCTTCTGAGCCAGCGGCTATTCAGACAGCATGGAAAGGTCAGTGTGTACTATCTCATTCCTAGTGGCTGATTTCTCCCATTATTTCTTCTTGGACTTTATTTACTTTCTCAGGTAGTATTAAACACTCCTGGTGCCACTAACAAACTTGTCTGGAAAAAAATAATCAACAGCTCCACAGGCTTAACTACCACCTTTTATTTTGGTACCATTAAATACTTAAGTTACACACAAGCACATACAGAGCATTAGCCACGAGACCTCAGGCCTCTCTCCAAAAAATAAAGCTGGGGCATGGTCACTACACGAGTCTGTTAAGATCAGGTGTCTGATGATCGCTATAGGCCACGAAACGAGGCCACTCTACAAGCAAATTTGGTATTTAGCACTTGGAATGAACAGTTCCTCAACAAAAAAGCTTTTTCTCTGACCTAACGGTTGGGATTTCCTGAGATGAGGGCATGATAAAAGGGTAAACAAACATTGAAGACGCTCTGAAAGTAGCAAAGGACTGAAATGGAACCTTCTAGACCCAAGAAGACATCGAGGAAGCAAACATCACAAAGCCACGCACCGGGATGTGTTTTTTCCTAGATATTACAGAATTAACTGCTTTAACACAACCTCTGTCTTCATGGCGTACGGGATCTGCAGACAGTAGATACCAAGGCAACAGTTTTTTGGCAGAAACAGTTGCAGAAATTAGAAAGCACTGGTTTGGCAAAATAAATTCAAATGTAGTGAATTTCCCCCCCTCAACCACAGCCCTTAAGCTAATATTATCCTACTCCCCTCCCACACTCGGTGCCGTTATGTCAGCCCCAGCGAGGCGGTAGGCAGAGGCTCAGCCAGAGACCACAGGAACTTCGTAGGCTTCTTTCTCCATCTCCACAGCACAGCTCGCACCGCCACGAACTCTGTGGGGTTTTTTTTTTTAAACATAAATGTCCCTTCGTGAAGTCCTGGTGAGGTCCTTGACTCAAGCACTCAAGTCACAACTGCAGATCCTCAGGGCTTCCAGCTCTAGCGGAAGGAATTTAAGTATCATTCAACAATCCCTGTTGCAAAACATCTCTTGTTACTGCTGCAAGTACTTAGTTTTTGAGGGAAGAGCAACTACTAGTTGGCCGTTCATCACAAACTCCTCTGACTTCTCCAGCTTCAAAAGTTCTGCTGGACTTACCCACACCACAAGCAAGGAGGGGGACAGAGCCGAGCTCTTCTCAAAATCTTTGTGATTTTGTTTTGTTCTGGTTTTTGTTTGGTTTTGGCTGCTTGCACTACAGATGATCAAAGAATAAAAGATCATAACCCTCAAGAGGGGAAACTGCTCAGAGAAACGCTGCGGTCATCGACATAAGGACCTCAGATACCTTTAATCCGTTCGTGGAAGCCTGATGCCGCAAGTATCGCTGTCTTCAATGCACGTGAGTGCTTTGCACTCGTAACTTTTCCCCCATTCACTCTCCAAACGCTTTGCTAATGTGATGAACCATCATCCTGCTCCTTCCCCCCGTGGGAGCTGAACTGAAGCAGGGCCAAGAAGCTCACTGGGAGCACCTGCATGCTGCTGCAGGCCAAAACAACTATGAGACTATACGTACTGCTCAGGGATGAGATGTTTGGAGAAAAAAAAAAAATAAAGGACAAAGCAGCAGGCTCCACCTCAGCAAGGAGCACCCTACAGCCGAGCTCGTCACTGTCTGCCTAAGGTCACACAGCTGGAAGTGAGACACAGCGCCTGGTTCCCTGCCCTGCTTTCTGTTTATGGACTTAACCTGCTTCTCAACTATAAAATGACTGAATGCAGCAAATATTACAACCTCAGATAAAGCCTTGACACACCTTAGGTAAGCACTGAAGGTCCTGCTCAGATGTAGTTTCAACTTCACCTCAGGGCTTCCAGGGGTTCAGTACCCAAAAGGTTTCGTACGGCTTTTACCACGCCGCTGCCCTCAAACCCCATTAACACACCCCCAACTCCCACAGCGCTCTCACTGGTAGGAACTCCCCCTTCAATCATGCTTTTCCTTCACTTCCACGTCTCTACGCTCCCCCTCTAAACCTCACCACGTTCCCTTCTCACAGAACCAGAAGACCCCGAGCTGTTTCACTCCGCTTTGCGCTTTAGAGCGACGAGAAAAAGCAAAAGCAGCGCTTGGACAACCCCTGGGAGCAGCTGGAGGGACAGCAGTCTGCACCAGCTGAGAGGCTTCATTCCCAGTTCACAGGACTTGTTGGGAGATGCCAACTCCCAAACCGGCTCCTCCGGTCACAGTCAACTGCTTCGATAGTATCGAGCACCAAAGGTTGGTGTTCAACTGCCAGGAACTGGCCCTGGGGATGCAATTCCTAGAGAGTCCTTTTTTTTTGCGAGGTGGAGCAAAATGTGTCTTCAAGAGGTGGTCCATGACCACCAACTCTTCAGACACACCCTATTTAGCTTTTTTTGGGGTTTGGCTGCAAGTCAGAGTTCCGGTGCTGAAAAGCTGACCTTTAAGGAAGGAACAACGAGCCCTTCTCAACACACAACAGCTGGACAAAGCGTGTTCACGCATGACTAACAGGTTGCTGCTACCTGCACAACCACCATTGAGAAATGCCCTCCCTTAAAACATTCCAAAAGGTCAACGCTGCTTCAGAAAATGCTTGGGTTTTGATAAAATGAGACATCGTGGAGATAAGCTCTTTAAAAGGTGAGAAGAAGTGAGAATGATCAAATGAATAGTCCATTTTGGTTTGGAAAAAAGCCCAAATAAGATATTTCAGTCGAAAGATCTTGATTATATGTTGGTTACAGAATCAAGTTCTGGTCTAAAACTGTGTATTTACGCGGTGACTCCTAGTAAGGAAAAGGAACAGGAGTTTTACAGGAATTACAGCATATATCTTAAAATTAATGAGTGAGAATGATTAAATGAATAGTCCATTTTGGTTCTGAAAAAGCCCAAATAAGATATTTCAGTCGAAAGATCTTGATTATATGTTGGTTACAGAATCAAGTTTTGGTATTTATGCAGTGACTCCTAGTAAGGAAAAGGAGTTTTATAGGAATTACAGCATATACCTTCAAATTATTAATGGCTGGAATGATGATTCAAGAGGCCTGACTCTCAGGGAAGAGGTGCTCAGCAATTATTGTGAAAAAAAAACAGCCCAATTCATGGCGTTCAGACCTTCTCCCTGCAACCTCACCCCAAACCATTAGCTGGCTTAAAACCTCTTAGCTTGGTGAGCATAAAGAGGTGCTCAGCAATTATTGTGAAAAAAAAACAGCCCAATTCATGGCGTTCAGACCTTCTCCCTGCAACCTCACCCCAAATCATTAACTGGCTTAAAAACCTCTTAGCTTGGTGAGCATAAATAACAGAATTGTCTGTTGAGCTCTAGTTCATCTCAAAAGTGTTTTGTTTTGTTTTAAATAACATTGACCACTTCACACTGTCTCTAGTCCTCCATCCAGCACAGAGAATTTCAGAAAGTTCTGAAACGAACCTTCTTCAAAGGCTAAACTCTCACTTACCCAATTGTCTTTTGGTTAATCTTAACAAATAGATTTTTTTTCCCCCCCAAGAAGTTTTCATGTTTAGCCACTCAAGTCACTACCCACGTGCTTTGCGACTCTCAAACGCACTCAGGCTTGGCTCAGAGGCAACAGAACTCGCCAAGACTTCACGTGACGGTATCACCAAGCTACAGGTGGAATACCAAAAAGAATGTGATGCTTGAGGGGAAAAAAAATAAAATAAATAAAGTTTCATCTTCAACCACACCCCCTGATGCGGCTGTGATCATCACCAGTAAACCTATTTTAACAGAAAAACCACTAAAACCATACTCCTTTGTGGGTTTTTTTGTTAGTCCACTGTTCCAGATCAACCACATACTACAAAGAGGGATTCTTCACTAGAAGTTCTGGACATCAGCTATGAGAGAAATTCCTTGAAGAGCCATTTGGAGGAACAATATCAAACTGGATTACTTTAAATATTGTTTTTTTCTAGTAAAATCTCCAACCTGTTTGCCCTTTATTAATTTGCTGGGCTGCGTGCTTTTTTCCTAACGACAAGTTCTCTCCCCGTTTCTAAAGCGCTTTGTTCACCTTTGCGGATGTTTCTGAAACAGAACTGCGACTCCTTACCAAAAAGGATAAGATTGCATAGGGAAAACACAAAAAAGCTGAAAATTATTTAATCGTTAAGCTGCTTAATCTTCACCAAAAAAAAACAGGTTAACGTTAAGGATTTCCCTTGGGTTATAGTCTTATCACTTCATATATTTTGCTGATAATCCTTGTTTTGTTCAAAATAGTTAAAAACAAATATAAATATATAAATTTATATATTATATAAATGTATTTTAATCACAGGCTCGATCAACTAACATTTAAAATACACCCATTTAAATTTAGGTAGAGGAATATCTTGTTAAGGACAATGTTTCTGATGATGGAAACGTGTGTTATTAAGGAACATGAGGGAGGGAAACAAAAATTATCCCAACTTATACCTGTTTAAGCTCTTCTGCTTCTTCCTGAGAGACCTTCTCTTGCTTCTGCAGCTGAACCTGGTCGTTGTCCATCCCTTCTCTGCCTCCCACCGGAGAGCTGGGCTGCACCACTCCTCCCAGGAGTCCTGTGGCTGCAAGAGAGATTCCCACGGTCAGACTGCCACCTCCTGTACCCACGGGGAGGACTAGGGCTAGCATCAAACTGGGTTTGACCTCCGCTTTGCTCCACAGCAGTTTGTGAGGCAACAAGCGCACTCAGAGAGGCCTAACCTCACGCTGCCTGTTCAGCTCTGATCTTCTACAAAGGATTCGAGCTGGATTTTTGTCCGACACCCAACCTGGAGGTGACCAGGCTGCCGAGAGGTGACTTTAGTAAGTCAAAGGCAGCACTTGGAGAACAGATTCATTGGGGGCTGCGGGGATTCATCGGACCAGAGCGCCAAGCAGCAGCAGCACACTCCCGACCCGCGAGGGTTCTCCACCCGCTGCTTCTTCTGGCTTTCATCTTTTTAATTAAAGAATTGAAAAGCGACGGATCAGGGAGACAGAGCCCAAGAGTCAAGAAAGAGAAGGGCAACACTGACGCTAACGGCCACCCCCAGCTAAGCAGCGGGGACGCAATCCCTCGTGTCACATGTCACCTGTCCTTTATTTAAAGCATCAGCTCTTATTGCGGTATCTGATACTACCCAGAAGGGTAGCAGGGACGTGCTGCAAGGAAAGGTTGTTATTTCTGATGCAGATGGGTGCTAAACACCCGAGACACACATCTTGGCTCCTCGAGGTGCTTCAAACGTCTCCGAAGCTTCTCCCTCTTAAAGAGGTACCGAGAAGGACGCGAACGCTGCTGCTGCTGCTGTGACCCGTGAGCACACGGCCTGCCCCCAGCCCAGGGCAACGACAGCAGCTCTGATGCACATCGGGGCAGAAAGCCCAGCAGGGACCAGAGCTCACTGCCAGGTTGAAGAGCTGGTGCCCAGCTGGCCGGCCAACAGACGGGGTACACCCGACCGCTTCGGGGAGCGTTACTTCCCCGTGAAAAGGGAGACAAAAGCTAAACCAGAAGTACCAAACTCTAAATCCCTCTCAAGTAATTACTGCACACTCATAATCCCTGAAATTATTCGGTTATCAGCCTGAGAGTCACTGGACTCAGACACCGTCAAGATTGAAGACAAGCAAGTCATTCACTGTGCCAGGGTTCCCCCGTGTAAATGCTCCTTGTATGTGGAGGGGCTAAGAACCAGGCACTGAAAAAACGCTGCTTATGGTAAATTACTGCCGTGGTCTCCCTCAGAGGACAAAGTGGGGAGGGAACGACAGACCCTCCTACGGCAGCAAATAGCCAGACGAGATTCTTTGTGTTTCTTATCAGCCAAGCCTCATCATATGCTAATTATTTCATTAAAGAAAGAAATCTACCCATTTTACTCCATTAATCTCGCTGAGGGCAAGAACAGGAAGGGGACATGACAAAAGCACACAAAGAGAACGGGATGAGGAAGGAGTTCTGGCATTTCCCAGCAATTTTCTAGTTTAAAAAAAAAAGAGAGAGAATCGACCAGAAAGGCAGAAACATTTGAAAAGCGATTTTGTTCCATCCGTGTTACACCCGGTTGGACTGTGAGACTCGCTGCCATCACGCTGAGGATGAGAAGGTACCAAACCTCTGAATAAAGTGCTGGGAACTCATCATAATGAGAACACTTGGGCACAGGGGTTAGCAGGAAAAATTCAGCAGCTGGGATAAAAAGGGATAAAAAAAACCCTGTTGAGTGCCAGTCTTCAGCTACAGGACAGAGAGCCCAGCCCTAGGTTGTCATACTGCAGCCTCACTGTAGGATTTCTTGTGCTTTTTAATCCTGATAACCCTGTTATCAGCCATTATCGAGGACATTATTGGCGAGGAAAGCACTGGCTTGATCCAGCACAGAAGAACCCCTGTCACAAAACAAACCTCACTGCTCTGTCCTGAGCATTTAAACACCCACGCGGCTCGGCCCAAAAAAATACAGTCAGAAACGACAGGCAAAGCAGCTAAAAATACTTTCAGATAATCTGGTGCGTCTAAAACTCTTCACAAATTCCTCTTCTAGGTGGAACCAAGCCAAAAGTCTTAGGAAAGAGGAGGGGTTTTCTGTATTGACTTACACAAATCTGCAATATGCAGCTTGAAGGCAGGACTAGCCCAAACAGACAGGACCCAGATGGGACTAGGATAGTTGTGGAAATGTTCACATCTGAGCTGCACCACTGAGGGCAAAGAACGCTACAAGCCAGTTCACCCAGACAGAGGTAGCTCTGCTGCAAGGGTAGTTCTCCTCTAAGTCTCTGAATCAACATTCACTATCTGAAAATACACACCATATATTTTAGGTGCACGCAGAGGCAGGCATGCACAGCACAGACTTTTCCCCCCCCCTTGCTTTTAGAGGGCAAAAAATAAAAATTAAAAATAAAAAAAAAAAATCAGTATTTCCACCCTGTGAGCAGCCATGGAAAAAACCCGAGTGGTTAAACCACAGTCCGTGAGTGCCACCTTGCGACAGGACCCAGGCGGCGACAGACTCCGGGGAAGGAACAAACAAGGGGTTTTTTGGTGGAGCTGGAGAAGTCAGGATTTCCATAACCTCCAGTTTTCTTTACTGACATTTCCAAATTAAACAGTCCCAATGCAGGTGGGGGTAGGAGAGCAATATCCTTGACTCACTGACTCAGATGCAAACAGAGCAGAGCAGTGGGAAATTAAGCACACTAGGGCTGTATAACCAATTATTTTATGTAACCAGCCTTAAGACCATCAGGAACTGAACACCAATTTGCTGGAATAACTCAGTGCTTAAGAAACCAGCAGGTTGTTTTTCCTCTAAGTTGTTGTGCTGACATTTTAGTGCCAGATGCCCAAGACTTACTTCCTTAAAAATTAACAAGCTTTTCCAAGCTATGGCCCTTGACGACTCGTCAACAAGAGGACATGATCCTCCCTGCTGAAGTCCAGTTTTAGCTTGGTGCACAGAAATAGGTTCCTCTATTGTTTGCTCGTATCATTTTTCTACTTCTTTTTAATATACTGGCAATAAATCCATCCACCGATTTGCTCTTTTCTCACTAACAATTAGGAAAAAAAAAAAAAGAGGACTCAGGCATGTTGACAGAAGTAAATTCCTAACAGACAAAAACTCACCAGCTCTCCAAACGAATCCAGGGTTGGACTACAAAAATCAAACAAAAATCATCCCCCCCTCCCTCCTCCCTGGAATTTTAGAAGAAGGAACAGCAGTAAGGAATGTCATTCTTATTGTTGTGAATGGGTTTCAGTCTGCGCTGTGTTTTCTTAAAATGATTAAACTATGCATTCCCCTAAGCTGAGACCTAAAATCTCCTAAATCCAAACACTTGAACTTCTCAAATAACAAAATTGTATTTTTTAGGATATGAAAACGAACATCATGTTTATCCCATATGTTATTTAAAAACTTGCTGGACTGGAAATTTGTTTTGAACTTTCTACAATTAACTGAACCACAGGTTTAATATAAATATGCTCCCAGCTACGAACTGCTAAAGGAAAAACAATGACAGAGGACTCTGAAGCACGCAGTCAGGAGGGAAGAATGGATTTCTAATGATGCTTCCCCACAGAGCGGCACAACATTGAATGGGTGAGCACTAGAAAAAAGAATGACACTGTAGTGAAAACACAGCCACTGCAACTCCAATTAAGCTAATCCCTTCAGAAAGTGGGGTGGAGTTAGTGACAACACCAGCTCAGAGCACAACGCTAAAGAGGGCTCGACATGTTCCAGCTGTCAGGCTCCTGAGGGACACTCAGCTTCAGCATCTACAGCCCCAGGTTTTGCTGATGCAGTTGGGAGAAAGGAAATTCGACTTGACTAAAACAGGGCCACGTAATTCTGTCATCTCTACCCTCTCCCTCTTGCCAAGAGGGTCTCAAGTCCCCCGGCAGTTATTTCTTGCATTTTATCAGTGTGGTCTCATCGTTGGGGCAGGGGGAAGAGGATTTAATTATGATAATAAATATTATTACACTATGCCGAGTTCGAAAACCGCTTGGAAACGTCCGGTGCGAGCGTTACTGCTTACAGATGGAGCGCTTTGTCCGTCACATACCTGCTTGCCAAATGGAGGTCCCCAAATCTACTTGAGGAGACTTCCTGGCACCCACAAATCCTAGGGCATCTTCTAAAAACTGTATCTTCTTGCTAAACTGCATCTCCAAGATGGGGATTGCTTCTGGCATCTTTGCTGACAAGAGCCGGTACGAGGTGTCGGGCTTCCCAATAAATCTCTGACGGACACTGATTTCATAGGGCGTGTGAACTCTGATATCATCTACCTCCTTGGATTCAAACCGGTGAATGACCTGAGAATTGCAGTCACTGATTTCCAGGCCAGAAGCAAAGAGCGTGAGTTTTCCTGGCTTGACATTTGAGTCTGTTCTGTGGGTGATAATAACTGGAATTCTAATTATGATTCCTTCCTGGTTCTTCGAATCGGAAACTGTGGCGGTTTCCTTTGGCTTGCTTTCCAACGGCGCTTTCCAGAGCTTGCTGCTAAACGGCCACCAAGAAGGAGATTCGAGCTCAGTCAACAACCTAGCGGAGAAAAGAGAGTGTTAGGAGAGTGAAAGCCAGCAGGAGGGTCGCGCTACCCCACCAGTTCAAAGCAAATTACCGCAGACACAGAGATTTCTTAAGACTGAATCCAGCCCTCTGGTAGTTCGCTCCTCAAAGCTATTCACAGCTTACCAGGATCCATCCGTTTTCAAAAAGCAGCTTTTCTTCATTTGCTAACACCTTGGAAAGTGGTCCCAGAATCTCGCTGTTCTGATGTGAGAAATCCAACTTCCAACTGGATTTATTCAGGCCAATTTACACCCATCCGTTCTCCAGCTCACACTGCCTTTTACCTCAATGTTTCCACACTTGGCCATCGCCACCACTGCCTTTTTCTACTCCTTTATACCTCAGCCCCGCAGTCCGACGACACCTTTTGCTTTGCCCCGACTCCCAAATTCTCATTGCCAGACCAAACACTAAGAGCCCAAGGCTGAGGCTGAACAGCCCAGTCGAGAGTGCCCACTGGCATCCAGCATCTGCCTCACCGTCAGGGTGGGCGTAGTTCCTGAAGGAGACGGGCCTCCTTGCTGTCAAACTGGTGTCTTAGCTTAAAGGTAACAGGAACCTACTTTACGGAGGAATCAAGCAACTGCTCCGCTGAACACCCAGAAATAACACGGGGAGCCAAGCCCCCTCTTTCTACGAAGCTGCACCCAAGCAGGCACACACGTTTCTCAGCTGCAGGCATGAAAGATGTAACACGCTGTCAGGAAGAACCAACGACATGGAGGACACGATCCTTCTGTTGTATTTTCCATCAGCATAGCCCGTTGCCCTTTGCTGGGGTCCTATCCCAAGAAAGGATCATGATCACAGAGCATTTTGGGTCTAAGCCTCCCCGGTACTCTTTCCATCAAAAATAGGGGAAAGAGAGGAAAGGTGGGTGGTTTTGGTTTGATTTTCCATGTCCTGTGCTGCCTATCGGTTAGCATCGCCCTCCAGGTCCAGTCAGGAGGCAGAGCCACAGTCAACACCTACGACACCCCGTTTCTCCCACTCTCTTCTCATCCCCTGCCCGTCACCCAAACCCATCCTGTGAGCAGAGGATGCTGTATGTCAGGATGCCTCAGCTTCAGTGGCTGGAAAGAAATTTTGGGGCCAATTACATCACCCCACACAGTCAACAGTAACCCCGTAGGGATATGGAGTCACCTCCTTCCCACGGTGCAACCAGCCACCTCCTGTCTCACCCACCAGTAGCCTCCAGTACCCACCTCGCATCGGAGCTGAAATGGCTCACCTCCAGCTACAGGCAGGCAGAAGAAGAGGCAAATCAAGCCACTGGGATGCACCCACTGCTCAAACCACCCTACCCAGTCCCCACTGGAGAACAGCGGTGAGCTGGCTGGGAGCAACCCACAGACCAAACCAGTCCGCAGGCAACCAGCCTCATCAGGATGATCCAAACGGAGGTTTCTCAGCCCACCCGTCAGTCACTGAGCAGCAAAGCCACCTCTGGAGGCACAAACGGATTCTCAATTAACTAAAGGAAGGTTAAGGGGTTATGTTTAAACCAACAACAAAAAAAAACCTCTCAGGAAGTTCAATCCAGATCAAAATTGTGTGTCCCCACACTCCACAAATATCCCTAAGGACCATCCAGGGACTAGGCATGTGCCACTCGCATGCCAGTTGTAGTAGACGTTTCTAATGAAGCCAGACCACAATAAAATCTTTACTGAAACACTGTTTACTGACTTAAATCCCAGAGATGCAAGCCTTATCAGACCAAAATACAAAGTGCTACTTCTTCATTGCTGTTTTGGAGAGCCAGCTTGATTTAATTTGCTTTTAAGTCGACTCTAGGAAGGTACTGCCTGATAAAATATGCACCACAGCAGCTGCTCTCAAGATACTTTTTTGTAATGATTTGTTTTCCGTGAGAGAATCAGTGTGTCCAGAGAAGACTTTGCAAATTTAAAATCCTGTTTAATTTGGCTGCAGACACCGTCTAATCTGAAAGGGGAAGCTCCAACTGAACACGCTTTGTTTACCAGCCATCAAAGTTCTGCACCAGCTTCAAAACTTCATCTGCTGGAAGAGCAGAAAAATAATATTGGGAGTCAACCATTGACTTCATGGATAGCAGAGGCAGAATGAATTGTTCCAAGAATCTACTCCCAGCTGAAGCATGAACATCAGATCTTTATGCAGACAGCACGCCACATGAGTAATGGGTCTGGAGCTCTCTGCTGCCCTCTGAAAATGCTGTGAAGCTTCTTAAAAAAGGGGGGGGGGGGGGGGGGGCGGCG